CACACACACACACAAACACACACAACACTAAACACACACACACAAACACACACACACAACACAAAACACACACAACACTAAACACACACAACACACACAGACTGAGTGTCCTGATCTGATGAGCTCGCAGTCAGATCTGTCTAATCTCTGGCCTTTTGAGTTTGATGTTCACATTTTAAATAAGAATTGAAAATTTTTAGTACCAAGTAGGAAAAAAAAACTGAGGCTCTCAAAAAGTACAAAATAATTCAAAGCCTTTAACAGCACACGGCAGATAAAGTTCAAATCAGAGTTTGCCCTGATGAAGCCGAAGAGCTGAAACATGTTGGTGTGATTTGACGTTTATCTGCCGTTAAAGCCTTTGAATTTTGTACTTTTTGAGAGCCTCAGTTTTTTTTCCTACTTGCTCTTTGAGGCTGGTCCCTGCACTGAAGACACCAAAAGGACAATTCAGGACATTTTTGTACATCCAAGCAGCACTTCTGCAGAGCTCCCGTCCCCAGAGCTCCCGTCCCCAGAGCTCCCGTCCCCAGAGCGCCCGTCCCCAGAGCGCCCGTCCCCAGAGCTCCCGTCCCCAGAGCGCCCGTCCCCAGAGCTCCCGTCCCCAGAGCGCCCCGTCCCCAGAGCGCCCGTCCCCAGAGCGCCCGTCCCCAGAGCTCCCGTCCCCAGAGCTCCCGTCCCCAGAGCTCCCGTCCCCAGAGCGCCCGTCCCCAGAGCGCCCGTCCCCAGAGCGCCCGTCCCCAGAGCGCCCGTCCCCAGAGCTCCCGTCCCCAGAGCTCCCGTCCCCAGAGCTCCCGTCCCCAGAGCTTTGCACATTTTTAGAGTAAATGTCCGTCTGCAGTTTCTGTTCAGATTCTTGTGTTTTTCTCCATTTTGTCAAACGCACAAACAGTTTCTTCACGTGTGTTTGTCTCGACATAAACATGAACATGAATAAACATAAAGTGTGTTTCACCTTCATCATCAACACGACGAGAACTACAACTTAATCAGACTTAATAAAGTATGAACAAAGACTGAACTCAGAATGAACAACGGGCCACGTCACAGACACACACACACACACACACATACAGACAGACAGACACACACACACAGACACACACATACAGACACACACACACACACACACATACACACACACGACACACACAGACACACACACCGACACACACACACAGACACACACACACAGACACACACACACATACAGACACACACACACAGACACACACAGACACACACACACATAGACACACACATACAGACACACACAGACACACACACATACAGACACACACACAGACACACACACAGACACACACATACAGACACACACACATACAGACACACACATACAGACACACACACTACAGACACACACACATTTTTTTTCATTCACATGTTTCACACACAAACCTGCACATTTAATGCGACAAAACACTCTGTTCCACCTTGTGATGTCATCATGTGGTGATACAGGAAGTGCTCCACTGTGTTTTTAAACTCCACACAGCTTCACTAGAATCACCTGGAACATTTCAGACCTGGAGGTGAGGATCTCGACTGAACTAAAGAGAAAAGGAGCTGAAAAACAACCACTTCATGACATCACAAGGTGGAACAAAGCGTTTTGTCGACAGACTCATAATAAAGATTTACTCAAACGTGTGGATGAAACAAACACAACTCCAGCTCTGAGTGTGACCAGGAACATTAGAACATTAGAACATTAGAACCTCACAGGAGTCGTTTTTTTTTTGATACTTAAAGTGAAATTAAACTGAATGAAGTTTTCTCTTTGTTTTGATTTTCAGTGAGAATCGGTGCCATGTTGGCGTACACGCCGCTGGACGAGAAAAGCCTGGCGCTGCTGCTCAGTTACCTCCAGGATTTTCTCAAGTCAGTTTGACTTTGGACGCAGATAAACAGACACAAACACAAAAACAAAGTCAAATGATGTAAATGTGTTTTTTTTCAGGTACCTGGTGAAAAACTCTGCCTCGCTGTTTAACGCCAGTGACTACGAGGTGGCGCCGCCGGAGTACCACCGTAAGGCCGTGTGACGCCCGCCGCCCGCGCGCCCGCCGCCCGCCGCCCGCGCCGCTCACGGGCGTCTGAGGACAGACGGGGAGAGTCACTTTTTCCTTGACTAATCTCATTTTGTTTCATGTGGAGCAGTTTCATAAAAGCACTTTGTGTGTGATGTTTTCAAGTACCACTTTTTTAGTTTTTCCTGATGTTTGTCAAAAAAAAAAAAAAAAAAAGAACTGAACTGAACTGAACTGAACTGACCTTTGTCCATCATCATTTTCTAGTAAAAGTCTTTTTTTTTTTTTTTTCTCAGTCGTGTCTTTTTTAAATTTTTCATAAAAATAAATCAAGTTCAGGATTATTTATCCAGAAGTAACAAGTTTAACTGTAAGTACACGGAGTAGGAGTACACGGAGTAAAAGTACGCAGAGTAAAAGTACGCAGAGTAAAAGTACACGGAGTAAAA